GTTGAGCTCCCTGTGGGGCAACGAAACGCTGTCCTGGATGGGGGTGACGCATGCGAGTGCAGCTGTGGCCTTCGGTGGAGCTCCATATGGGGCCACGAAGCGCTGTCCTGGGCGGAGGAGACGCATGCGAGCTGCGCCACTGGGACCCTCGGTGGAGCTCCCTATGGGGCAACGAAAGGTTGGCCTGGGTGGGGGGGGACGCATGCGAACTGCGCCACTGGGGCCTTCGGTGGAGCTCCCAATGGGGCCACGAAGCGCCCTTCTGGGTGGGGGGGACGCGTGCGAACTGCGCCACTGGGACCCTCGGTGGAGCTCCCTATGGGACCACGAAGCGCCCTCCTGGGCGGGGGAGACGCATGCGAGCTGCGCCACTGGGACCCTCGGTGGAGCTCCATATGGGGCCACGAAACGTTGTCCTGGGTGTGGGAGACGCATGCGAACTGCGCCACTGGGACCGTCGGTGGAGCTCCCTATGGGGCCACGAATGCCAGCTTCGGGATACAAAAAAAACAGGTGGGGCCGCCGAGCGCGATCGGCTGGGCCCGATATTTGCCCCAAAACTACCCGCGCCATTGCCACGATTTGATTTTTGATGCGTTTCGACCCAACCCTCATCCCCCCCATCATCATGCCCCCGCTCCTCCCCCACATTATTTTGTAACTCGTCAATATTCTTATCCGAACTAGCGCACGTCACAAGTGACATTGCGATATCATTCGTCATGTGGGTACAGCAGTAGCATGTGTTTTGCAGTTTTCTTCAAAATTTTCCCGAACTTGTATTTTTCAGAGACGTCGAGATTCCTTTGAACATCGCACTTTCCAGCCCAGGTGGGTTGTGGTGGCCATGCGGAGAAAATCCTACGAAATCATGAAAACGCAACTTCGGCTGAAATTTCGGCGTCGATCTGGGTATTTTTTTTTGGGGATCTGGGTTTTCATAGGAAATGGCGATTTTCTATGGATTTCCTGGGTGGGGCCGCTTACAAGCACCATCGTCCTACCTAACCCTGAGCTGAGGTGGTTAGACCACTTTCGCATGAGACATCCTCGCAACTCTGACCTCAGAGATCTCCTGCCCCATGCTGGTCAGGCCACGGTCGCCTGAGACATCCTCGCAAGTCTCGATTCCGATATGCCCCGAGCTGAGGTGGTCAGCCACTGTCGCCTGAGACATCCTCGCAACCCTGATCTCAATGATGCCCTGCTCGATAGTGTCTCGGCCCCTTTCGCCTGAGACATCCTCGGAACTCTGGGTTCCGAGACGCCCTGAGTTGAGGTGGTTAGACCACTTTCGCTTTAGACATCCTCGCCCGAGATGCCCTGAGTTGAGCTGTTCAGGCCACTTTTGCCTGAGACATCCTCGCAACTCTGACCTCAATGATGCCCTGCTCCATAGTGTCTCGGCCTTTTTCGCCTGAGACCCTCGCAACTCTGGGTTCTGAGATGCCCTGAGCAGGTGGTCAGGCCAGTCCTGCCTGAGACATCCTCGCAACTCTGGGCTCCGAGATGCCCTGGGCTGAGGTGGTCAGACCACTCTCCCCAGAGACATCCTCGCAACTCTGACCTCAGAGATCTCCTGCCCCATGGTGGTCAGGCCACTTTCGCTTGAGACATCCTCACAACTCAGACCTCGGAGGTGTCCTGCCCCATGGTCGTCTGGTCACCTTGACCAGCGACATCCTCGCCACTCTGGTTTCCAAGATGCCCTGCCCCATGGTGATCCGGCCACGCTTGCCTGAGACATCCTCGGAACTCTGGGTTGCGAAATGCCCCGAGCTCAGGTGGTCAGGCCACTATCGCCTGCGACATCTCTGCGGCATGTGCGGGCATGTGCGTCTATGCTTTCAGAGTTTTGCTTGACCGTGCATTCGACTGTGCGTCGGACGGTGTGGCATGTGCGCGCATGTGCGGCAATGCTGTTGAGGCTTTTGTATATTTGCATGGGCATGTGCATGCGACTGTGCGGCATGTGCCTGCATGTGCGGCCCCTTCCGGACCACAATTTCAAAGTGAGCACTATAGAAGTGAACGCTATAGAAGTGAGTCCGGTGTATCCACCACCCGCCGAGGTCCCAGAAGATCGATTCCCCCGGCGGCGGTCATGGGTTATCCCCGCCTCGCACGGTTCGAGCAGGGGGTCGACTACAGAGTCGATTTACCCCAACACTTATTTGTTCTGTCGAATCTGGAAACATACCTCAAATTGCTCCGCGGATCCACGGAGCATTCTACGCGTGTTCCGCGGATTCGACGTACAACATATGTTTGGCAACAGCCATCTTGCAGTCGATCTCAAGTTCGAAGGGCAATGAACTGTTCCAGGGCAGAGCGCCCACGAGTCCGACTCCTTGCGGGCTGAGCCTGGGGCCCGCCTCCGCTGGAGCAGGCCTGCGTGAGCGTGCCCGAGCGGCGGCGAGCTCCAGACTTCCGGCCCCCCGTCCAGGACCGAGGCCCCGGACGCTCCAGACGTCTCCTGGACGGCCTGCGGCCTCTGGAGGCTCCGAGGGCGCCTGGGAGCTTCCTGGGCGGGGGGGGTGCTGTGCGGCCTCCTGCGGGCATGTTGAGGGCTGTCCTGAGCCACCCTGACCCATACAATGGTGTCCTCTTGGGCCATCTGGGGGCCACATCGCCTCACCCTGGACGCTCTGACGACTCGCGAGACCCTTCGTCCGAGACGGGGGGAGGGGGCAGGAGGTCCGCAGCCGTTCGGACCAGTGCGCCTTCGCGACGCAGAGCTCGGGCAAGATCGAGGGCGGCACTTGCAGCACCCTGGAGGTCGACGCGAGCAGCTCGTCCAAAGTCGAAGTCACCCTGACGGGGAGCGCAACCGGAACGGTGTCTTCGGCTGCGAAGCTCGAGGTGGACGGCCACGGCAGCGTGAGCGGCGTGACGACGAGCTCCGGAGGCAGCGTCAAGGTCGACAACTAGAGCGCAACAGTCCGTTCTTTCACGCAGGCAAAGGAGCAAGGACCTGCATGGAGTTGTCTTGAGCCACCTCTTTATTGTACGATGCAGTCGGGCCGCTGAGTAAGGGACCCTTCTCGTTGGGGAGGGGCTCGGTGTACGCCTTCGGTTTTCGATGGGCAATCGAAGGTCAACTTGTGGAAAAAATGGGGCCTCGTTCCTTGTTCAGGGCTCCTTGTGGCAGCAGTTCGACTGTACGTGCATGTTACCGCGCAGTGCTCCCAAAGAGGGTGGAGCGGCAGACGGTTCGCGCATGGCCGCTGCCAGTGGCGTACCTGGTCTGTCGGAGGGTGTTGCGCTAGTTCTTCCCGTGGTGCCTGTCTGGCAAGTCGACGGTGGTGCGACGGACCTCCATTTGTTCCTTTCCTCCACCTCATTCTCTTTTTCCTCCTCCCCCCTCCTCCTCCTCCTCCTCCCTCCTCCTCCCTCCTCCTCCTCCTCCTCCTCCTCCTCCTCCTCCTCCTCCTCCTCCTCCTCGTCCTTCCTCGTCCTCCTCCTCCTTCCTCTCCTTGCCCTCCTCCTCCTCCTGCATCCACCGGCGCTGCCCGCATCTCAAGGGCGCTAGCGCATGCGCCTCCTGCCTGAAGGACCGCCTGCATGGCTCTCCAGCTGCACGTGGAACCTTCCTCACCGACGTTTTTCAAGAGGCACGCGTCTTCATTCCTTATGTTTCTCCTCTTCCTCCTCCCCCCCTTCTCCATCCTCCTCTCCCTCCCTCCTTTTCTCCCCACCTCTCTCCCCTCCCCGTTTGGTACGGACGAGATCTTCCGATGCACGCGGGAAGAGGAGATGGAAGCGGCACGGGTGCTTTGATCTGTTCAGCGGCTCTCCCGGCCCTGGCACGGCTCGATGTTCGGCTTCTTCGGCTGACCAGCCGTCGTCGAGCTCCGAGCGAGTGGACGGTGGTGCGAACAAAAAGGGGAGGGGGTAGGAGGAGGGGTCAAGCTACCTCCCCCCGAAGGACAGCCGTCTCGCGCCCTCCCGCCACATGAGTAGCAACCGGGCATCAGCATGGCCACGGGCTGCCATCGACATCCCTCGAAACCAGTGCAGAGGCAACCAGGTGCGCGACGCCTGCGAGGTGTGCCGCGCAGGCAACGGCACCTCCATCACCTGGTCAAATAATATGCCGCATACAGTCAACCCGCATAGTAAGGATGGGCAACCTTCCCAAGGGTACCCTTGCATCCTTGCCTCCTCGGTCCATCCTTCGCCGCTTTCGCTGGCCGCGCCCCGCTCGAAAAGCTTCGAAATGGGCGTCCAAGGCCCTTGCATCCTCATCGCGCATCCTTGCTATACTGGTTGACTGTATGCGCGGGGCGCCTGCGCACGGCCCAAGGCTTTGCCGCAGCGTGCACGTTGCATCGGCGTGTTTGGCAGGGACGGTGGCCCTGCCCACACGGGGCAAGATGATGCCCCCCCCTCCGCCCTCGTCGAAGAGAAGTGTGAAGCGACCGCGGGGCACCCGAACATGATCCCGATGCAGGCGCACAGAGCCGACCCTGCCGCAGGCGCCCCTCCCGCATCCATCCATCCCGCATCCACCCCCTCCCCCTCTCCCCAGACCTCGGGCGTTTCGAACAAATCGAGGCGGAGGGTATTAGTCGTTTTCTGCTTCTCGGCTTCTCGGGGCCCTCGCACGGCCGCGGGGCCCTTGCCGACCCTGCCTCAGGCGCACAGAGCACGTTGTATTGTCCTTGTGATTGTGGGATGTTTAGGGGGGGGGCATCGGCCCTGGTCAGGGGTGGGCAGAGGAGCGGGAGAGACTAGGGTGTACCACCCCTCCGAGTGAGAAGCAGGGGGGGGGTGGAAGAACGAACTCCGCTGAGTCACCGACGCCTTCATTGAATACTGGTATTTACGGGCCAGAAGCAGCAACTTCACGGATGAAGGGTGGCCCCTTTTCGAAGTCCTCGGCGTCGTCCTCCTCGTCGTCGTCCTCCTCGTCGTCGGCGGCGGCGGCGGCGGTGCTCGGCAGAGGCGAGCGGGCGGCGGCGCCGCCATCCCCACCCCCCGCGCCGCCGGCGGGCGAGGCAGCCGCCTCTGTGCTGCAGGAGGAGCAGGGCGTTCTGATGCTGGACGCGGGGGCGCCGGCGAGCTGCCTCTGATTTTCCAGTGTTATGATGTTTCAACCTATTTTCGCCCTTCGGGGGTGGACAGAACCCCCAACAGTGACACGTCGATTAGTGAATTGTCCGTTTTCGGTTCTCGAGAGGGCGCCGCGGCCGTTGTTTTCCAGGCTTGCGCCCGCCAGGTTTGGGCATCAGGTCGTTTTCACTAAACCACGTTTTACTAAAGGGAGGTATGTCCATCCCCGAGCTTTGATCACCAGAAAGAAGTTCGAGCACCAGGAAAGCACCGAGCTTGGAGGGTTTCCACGTGTCGGGCCCAGAGAGGCACCGCTTCGACACCGTTTCGACTCTTTCCCGGGTGCTCGAAATTATTTTTGTGATGTGGTCCTTACGACAATAATAACATAATTCCAGGGGCGCTAGCGGAGGGCTGGCCCACGACGGGGGCTTCCCCCATCCTCGGGATCCGCGTGGGCGCTTCCGGCCTCGGGGTGTTTCTTTTCCAGCAGCTGCGCCTCGCCGAGGGCGTTTTGCTCGGGGGTGCTCGAGGATCGTCCCCCGCGCTAGACCTGGTCTAGGAGGCCCGAGCTGGGAGCGAACGCCAGACCTGGTCTGGGACGCCGACGGGGGGGGGGCCTGGCCCAGAGCGTCTTTGTCTTCCTCCCCAGGGTAAGGCTCGCTGCCCGGGCCAATGCCCCCCCTCCCCCCAGGTAACGCTGACGATCGTACTGGGAGGGGTGGCCCAGACAACACACCTACAGTCAAAAACCCTAATAAGGACGCGCGACTTTACTCAGGGTACCCTTGCGTCCTTGCTCGTCCTTGCTCTTGCGTCCTTGGGGTTTTCGTCGTCCGCCGCCCCAAAAATTTCAACTTCGGTTTCCAAGGGTTTTGCGTCCTTACCGCGCGTCCTTATTAGGGTTTTTGATTGTAACGCTAACCATCGTACTGGGAGGGGTGGCCCAAACGACACACCTACATGCTGTGGTGCACATCGGCGATCGATGCGCCGGTGGCGCGGACGCACCCTGGCGGGTGCACGCCGCGGCCGCCGTTACCATTACCTTCCCGCCCGAGCCCCTTTCCCCCCCCCAGATAACGACCGTTATTCGGGAAAGGAAAACAGTCAGGGGGAGGCATCGGCCCTTAATTGTCAGGGAACATCCGCGCCGATCCAAGAAATCCGCGCGGACCTCAGAGAAATTGTTTAAAGGCTGTCGCCTCTGCCGCCGACCCCAGAAGAGCTGGCAGCTCTTGAGGCCCCCTTTGAGGCCGTCTTGCGGCGTTTTTTGGCCCGTGCTGGGCGCCTCGACCGTTTTGGTGCCCTCTTGGAGGCCTCTTGGGCCGATTTGGGGCGCACTTGGGGGCCTGTTAGGCCGTCTGCGTGCGTCGGGAAGCAGCACAACGCGGGAAGGCCGAAGGTTTCCCAATAAGTTCGTGACGTTGAAGATTTGTGTTTCTTCGGGCGCCCTCGGGAACTATTTTGGGGGCTTCATGGGCCGTTTGGGCGGCCTGGAGGGCTCTCTGGGAGCCACCTTGGGCGTCTTGGGGCGACCTTCCGACGACTCGGCACCGCCTCGGACCGTCTTGGCAGTCTCTTGGGACCCTTTGAGTACGTCGTGGCCGCCTCGTGGGCCCGAAACACTCGCGCGAGAAGACGTGGGGGTACAGCGGGAAGGCCCGACGGATTTGAGAACTTGGGGCTCGGGCCCCTAAAACATTTCTCTGGACGGAGGACTGAGGCGCAGGGGATTGGCAAAGGACCTGAGGACACGCCCAATCCGTGCCCAGGGGCACGGTGGCGGCTCATTCTTCTTTTTCGTGCTCCTCCCCGGTCCGCGTGTGGAGGCAGGGCCATGCATATTTCAACGCTCAGGGTGGCGGGGGGGGTCCAGGCAGAGGTCGTGGCGGGGGAGCCCCAGCGAGGTTTTTGCAGGGCGGGTGGCCCTAAGAACCTATGCCCTGAGGCTGGCGGTGTCAGGCGTGGTGTGAGGGTCCCGTCGAGATTTTACAGGCTGGGTGGCCCCTAAGAACCTATGCCCAGAGGCTCCATGAGGCTGGCGGTGTCGGGCGTGGTGTGGGGGGTCCTGGCGAGGTTTTTGCAGGCTGGGTGGCTGGTGGTGTCAGGCGTGGTGGGGGGGGGGGTCCTGGCGAGGTTTTTGCAGGGGTGGTGGCCTCTAAGAACCTGTGCCCGGAGGCTCTCTGAGGCTGTGTCAGGCGGGGGGGGGGGTCCCGGAGAGGTTTTTGCAGGCTGGGTGGCCCCTAAGAACCTATGTCTGGGGGCTCTATGAGACTTGCGGTGTCAGGCTTCCGGCGAGGTTTTTCGAAGGGTGGGTGGCCCCTGAGAACTTGTGCCCAGAGGCTCGATGAGGCTGGAGGTGTCAGGCGTGTGGGGGGGGGGTCCTGGCGAGATGTTGCAGGGTGGGTGACCCTTAAGAACCTTTGCCCAGAGGCTTCATGAAGCTGGCGGTGTCAGGCGCGGTGGGGGGATCCTGGCGAGGTTTTTGCAGGGTGGGTGGCCCCCAAAAACCTATGCCCAGAGTCTCTATAGGGCAGGCGGTGTCAGGCGTGGCGGGGGGGGTCCTGGCGAGGTTGTTGCAAGGTGGGTGGCCCCTAAGAACCTATGCCCAGAGTCTCTATAGGGCTGGCGGTATCAGGCGTGGTGGGGGGGGGGTCCTGGCGAGGTTGTTGCAGGGTGGGTAACCCTTACGAACCTATGCCCAGAGGCTTCATGAAGCTGGCGGTGTCAGGCGTGGTGGGGGGGTCCTGGCGAGGTTTTGGCAGGGCGGGTGGCCCCCAAGAACCTATGCACAGAGGCTCTATGAGGCTGGCGGTGTCAGGCGAGGTGGGGGGGTCCTGGCCGCGCGGACCTCAGATAATATATTTGTATGCAGTTTTTGCTCGTGTTGTCCTCGCTGATCGGGGCCGGGGTGCCCGATCATGCCCAGGATCGCGCGGTTTCCCTTTAAGGGCCCATCCCAGACCAGGAAGTCCCACCGTGCCCTGGCAGTCAACGTTCCCCTCCCCCTTGAGCCAGCTCCCGACCCTTTCGCCCCCCCTTGCTGCCAGAGTCCAGCCCTCCCAGATGGGGCGTTCCAGCTGGCGTCTTTTCCTCGGCGGAAGGCTGGCGGAAGTAGATCGGGGGCGGTTCCGCGGGCGGAGGAAGACAGCGTCTTCCCTAGAAGTCAGGGGTTCCTGAACGGGCCAGATGGGGCCAGAGTAGATGGGGTCGAAGGATTGCGCAGCATCGCCCATGCATCGGCGGTGCGCCGCAGTCTGGAGCACCAGTTCCTATGCGGCGGGATCATCCGACCCAGCTGCTGCGACCCAATTTGTGAGGCCTCTACACAGGTGTCCCTTGCCCGGCGGTGTGTCCAGGACTGTTCCCTGGAGGCCCCAGTGGCCTCCAGAGCAGCCGCTGGCGAGGCCCAGGATGCCCCAGGGGTTCCAAAGCGGCGCCAGAAGCTTGGGGCTGGGCCAGGACCATCTAGTAACACCCGAGGTGGGGGGCGTGGAGGTTCGGGGTTTGGAGGAACACCTTGGTCCCCTATCCTCCTCTCCTCTCGAGGAAGATGCTCGAGGAGAAGCTTTTCGAGAAGGAGGGAGGCGTGAGGGGGGGGCGAGGTTCGAGGTTTGGGGGGCGTTTTGTCGGGGCCTCCTGGGGAGAGCTCCTCGTGGCCGACGGCAGGCCAACACACACACACACACACACTTTGCGTCGGCGGCTGCTGGGCGAAGGTCGACTGCTCCTGCGGACGGCAACAGGGGACACGCTGTATGCACATTAAGGACACGCGCACACCTGGACAGGTCTGGGGGCCCGCTATCTGGGGCCCCGACCCAAGAATCTGGGAGTGTGGCTGGGTGGGCTGGCCTTCCCTGAGATCATGGCGATTCCATTTTTTCGAGCCCTGCATGTTCGATCAACTTTGAGCCCCGGGTCCCTTACAGATCGATCCGCTTGGAAAAATGACGCAGAAAGAAGTGATCGGGGGTTCTGGTCGGTTCTGAGATGTTGTATTTGTTTGCAACGTCGGATCTCAGGGCTCCAGAGCGCCAAACCATAGCCCTCCCGACCTGCAAGCCTGTCCGCGTTGCTCAAGACCTCGGCCAGCATCTGAGTTTCAAAGGCCCCTGTGCTGTTTGCTGTCCCTGCTTGGAAGGCCAGGGGAGAGCTGATGGGCCTGTTTTCCACCACCACCACCATAAATTGGAGGGGGGAACGAGGTGGAGGACGAGGAGGAGGAGGAGGAGGAAGAGGAGAAGGAAGAGGAGGAGGAGAAGGAGGAGGAGGAAGAGGAGGAGGAGGAGGAGGAGAAGGGGAATGACCAGAAGGAGGAGGAGGACCCCCTCCCCCTCGGACGTATGGTGGTTGTGGTGGTGGAAAACACGCCCATCACGAGCGAGGGCCGTACCGCCGCCGCTGCTGCCGCCCGGCCGCGGTGAGCGAGCTCGCTAGTGGCAGCTGCGTCGGCCTTCCTCCCTCAGGAGGGAAAAGACACAGACACCATGAATCGCCGGTCCCCAGGAAGATCTGCGAAAAGATAGGACGTGGGGGGGAAGACAGAAGCCCAGAAGATCTGCGAAGATATGGCAGAAGTCCTGGGATCTGTGCGTGTATTCCTTTGTGTGCTTGGGGGCCCCTTCGCTCTCCCCCGCCTCCGGGGCTCCCCGAGGGGCGGGGCCCCTAAGAGTGGGAAGCGGCTCCGAGTTAGAGTTTGTGTTGTGCGGGGCCTCCTGGCCGTCTCGGGGCCTGCCTGAGGAGCACTCCTCGGCATGCAAGTGTTGTTTTCGATACATGTTCCGCGTACGGATCATGTATTAAAAATGCAGGAATCTAGTATTAAAAACAACGATGCGTTCATCCATAAATTTAGTCATAAACTAGTCATGTATTAAAATTCCTATGTTTTGTTTTAAATCACATGTATTAAAACTGCCCCGGGCGCGCTCCGCGCACCCGGGGATGGTGGTCGAGCGCCGACCCAAGGAATCCCAGACCTGCTTCTGCTTGTGCTTCTGTCGTTGCTCTGTTTACCTTTGCGCCTTCCTCGTTCTCCTCCAGCTCCCCCAGTCGGAGCACAAGCCTTCCTGGCACGTGGCCTGTTTCGCGCGTGAGGCCCCGCTCGAGCACCGTGGGGACACAGAGATTGGTGGGGCGGGCGCCGAGTCTCAGCGAAGAGAATCGCGCTTTGCGCGCCGCGGCCTGCGCCAGAGCGGTTGTCCTTCTCCAAGGGGGCGGCGCGAGGGCGCGAAGAGTATCGCGCATCGAGCGGCGCGTTGCGCGAAGTTGGGCGACCCAGCTCCATCCTCCCGCGGCCGCTGGGCAGGGCGGGATGGAAGTACTGCCACCACCGTCTTTGAGCCTTGGGCTCCACAGACGGCGCTGCGGGGCTTGACGCTGCCGCCTGTCGAGTCGATCCGATCCGACCGCTCTCTTCGGGATCGGTGACCGGGGCTCGATCATCGAGGATCAAAGAACCCCTAACCCTAATAACACAGTGAAGCCAGTGCCTCACTTAGGTCCACATCTTTGCGTCAGGGATTGTAAATCTGGGTGGTTTGGTTGGACGCATCTGCAGAAAAGGCCCCCTGTTCCTTGATGTTTTTGGCCCTCCTGACTTAGGTCCCCTCCCAGAGGGTTAGGGGCCCTTTCTTGCGGGGCCAGAATGTATACACCACCACCACCACCTCACTCGCCCCCTCCCTCTCCCACGAAAGAGGAGAGGAAGTGAAGAGAGGAGGAGGGATGAGGAATGGAGCTGGTGGTGGTGCGTATTCCTGGGACCCGCAAGTTTTGCTGATCGTTCGAGGTCGAGGCCCTCGGGGGCGCCCTGGGCTATCCCGAGGGGTCTCCTCGTGGCCGCGGCCAGCTCCACCTCGGCAGCCGGGCCAGGACGTGCCCCCCGGAATCCAGATCCTGGGGGGGGGGGTTTTGGTCAAGCAGTGGCGAAGCGTCCTGGTTCGCCTATAGCCTTACCAAACAATGTTCTAAGAACCTTTTGTGGTTTGCACGAAATGTTCTTAGAACATTTACGGCGGAGTCTTTCTTGTTTTATGGCATCGGGCTTATGTTCTCAGAACCTTGCTTTTGTTCTGAGAACATCTTGGGGTTCTAAGGAACATTTCGTGGTAGGACTATAGGAATGCCGGGACGGTCGGTCCCTGCTCAATTTGGAGGGCCCAGGACGGGAGGAGGGACTCCGCGGCCAATGTTCAGGAGGGAAAGAAGCACACAGACACAACGAATCGTCGACTCCCCGGAACATGTTGGAAGATCTGGGAAATGGGGTGGACGACGAGACTCCGAAAAAGATTGGAACATATGGGGAATCCTGGGATTTGCGCGTGTGTGTCTTTATTCGTGTGTTCCTGGGCCCTTGCAATTTCGCGAAAACCTAACATGGGAGGAGGGACTCTGCGGCCAATTTCGAAAACGTGCACTTTCGGGTCCAATCGCCGCTCGGGGATCGGACACCCCCGCTGGGGCTTTCTTGGCAGCAGGCATCCTGCGAGCTCTGAGCCCTGGTCAGCGATTTAGAACTCTGACCTGCGGGGGCAGAGTTCGCATGTGGGTGCCCAGGGACAAAGCCGAGCGTACCGCAGAGCGGCACCGAGCTGCGGCCGCGGCGCAGAGGTGCCAAGCCACGCCGGGACTTTGGGCTTGAAAATAATGCAAATTACACTCGCGGAAGGGGTCTGGACCTCTGGAGGTCCACGTCTTGAACAACAGTCAAGGCGTCGGAGATGTGGGGCAGAGGGGTCAAAAGCGGCGGATGCCTCAATGGGTTTGTGGGTGAGTTTCAGTCGGCCGCTCGCAACAGGGCCAGGGAGTGCGTTCTACACCAGCATGTCACGCCTCAAGCTCCAGAGAGGCTCCAGAGGAGATGTCGATGCTCGCTTATTTGCACATGTCGCCCAGGTGTATACCCTCCGGAGTTGTTTGGACACTCAAAGTGATGGGACCATGCGTGTGGTTATGATATTTGGTTACGTGAGCCTTCTCAAGCGGTTTCTGGGTTTCGGTATTGTGTGTTTCTTTTGGTATGACTTGATCCTCACAGAGCGGTGATACGTACCACATGGTTGTTCAATGTTTCTGCTGTGTTCGGGGTGTTTAATGCAGTCATGGCGTCAGAGGCGCTCGTATAGCGAAGTCGGAGCATGCGCAGCCGACGGTGTGTTTGCTCGGGTGGGGAGCGAACGTTTCTTCACTGCTTGCTATTGGTGTCGTCGTTGCGGAGGAATCGGGCTGATCCTTCGAATGTTGATTACACGTACTTGAAAGTCGTTGCTGCTTCTCGAGGACTTGGACATCGTGCTCTACCACAACCCTCTAGACCACATTCGCAGCGTTTTTCCGAGCAGGTCCCCATGGTTTCAGCATTCGGTGATACATGGAACCGCTGCCCAGATAGTTACCATGACGACCAGAGTGGGAGAGCACATGAGGTCAGGATCAGGTGGGTAATTGATATCTGCAGGCCTTCGGTCACTGCCGCAGGCCCCGTGCCTCAGGCTCGCCGTCGTCGTCATCCTCCTGCTCGTTCTGTTCCTCCTGCTCCCTAGTGCCAATCAGGGTCATTTCGGGACCAATGTCGGTCGTCCAACGGACCTTTCCTTTTCAAGCTAGCCCTCTTTGATGCCGTAGGGCTCCATTGGGTCTACCTTGGTCTCGTTCACTGTATTATTTGGAGTGTGTTGTTGCCCTTTTGGAGCCGGTTGGAGCTTCTTGGATGGTTGGCCCTTTTGCGGGCGTTTGGGTCCTCTCAGGGGCGCCTGGGGGCCGGATTAAGCTGTTTTGGGGCCTCTTGGATGCATGTTAGAAGCCATTTTAGGCTACATTGTGCCGTCTTACATGCACTTTGTGGCTATATGGAGCCAGATTGGGCAATCTTGGACGCTATAACCCTTCGCGCACCCCCCGTCTTGACCAAGGGGAGGGCATTTGGGGAGTGGAAATCCCCCCGCCGACGGCAAATAATGGGTTGGAAGAGGAAACGCTTCAAACCGCATACGCCCAGAGAGCCGGTGATATGTTGCCAGACTGCGAAATGCGGCGTTTTCTCAAAGCAAGTGTCCTGCTGGACATCTCCTTAACTTGTGTGATCCTGCCTGAGCCGCCCGTCTCATCCCCGTCCTCCTTCGGCCGCTTCCTCCCTCCTTCCCCCTTTTGCATGGTGACACAATTCGCTCTAACGGCATCCCCGTTTCAGCCTTTCATCGCCAGCGCAGTCAACCTCTGCCTACGGCAGGTTCGCGTCGTGCCGACCGGCGGCAACCCCAGCGCGTGCGTTTCAGATTGAACGCCGCCCGTGGCCCAGAATCGGCCCGTCGTTGAACGATCCAGCGTTCGCGGAACGGACGATCGTTCAAGTTTGAACGGCGCCCCGCGGTGTCAGGAACCAACGCCAGGGTCGACACGACGCGAACCTGCCGTACCCGCCGACACAACATGTGGTTATCCTGGCTCTTAGCGTTTCCAGGCTGGCGGACGGATGGCTGATCTTTCTGCAGCGCAGGGCGCTCGCTTGGAGGGCAGGACCACAGGGCGATCGTCTTTCGGGTGGGCGCTTCCAGCAGGCAAGCAACCTATGAGGACTTGGGCGTGGGACGGGGGAGGGTGTGTTGCAGCATCCTTGACGCCTATTGAGATTGCTGTGGTCCTCCCCTCCCTGCTCCTCGCCCCTCTCCTCCACCTCCTCTTCTTTTTCCTCCTCCTCCTCCTCCTACTTCTCCTCTTCCTCTGCCCTGGGGAAGGAAGGGGAGAAGGGGGGCAAGACGAGAAAAAGGAGCAGCGGAAGGAGGGGAGAGGGGCGCGGAGGAGGAGCAGGAGGGAGAAATCAGGGACCAGGGAGGAAGAGGATGTGAGGAGGGGGGGAGAGAGGAGAGAGGAGGAGGAGGAGGAGGAGGAGGAGGAGGAGGAGGAGGAGGAGGAGGAGGCATGCAGCATGGAGCAGCGGGGAGGAAGGACGAGGCCCCCCTCCAGCGCCGCTTGGAGGGAATCGAGCGCACTGCTGACCGCCCGCGAGCGGACCGGCAAGGCCGGGCGCTGCGCGCGATTCCTCGTGCTGACGACGGCGATCTCTAGCTATACTTCTATTATCGGGCCGGACGAAAGGGGGGGGGGTACGACATTTGCTGCATACAGGTGGTTTCGGCCCCGCCGCCGGGCCGATTCCTCTGTACATGGGCGCCTCCGGCGCCGGGAGGCGCTGGGAAAATCAGCTACGTGAGCTGATTCTCACCCACCCCTCTGCTATCCCCCCCTTTCGCCCGACCCGATATTACCGAGCGCGTTCCACTACTCGCAAAGTGCCTACTCGCAAACGTCAGACTAACACATGGGTGCCTCGATGCAATGTATCATAAAAATCCCCCGCGGCGAGTCCAGGCCATTTGCGACTAATCATTTTTCGAGTAGTGGAACGCGCTTATCTATTCGGGCTGTCAGGTTATCACATCTGGTTTAACTTCAATGTTGAACTTGTAGCGTTCACACGCCACGTGTGGTAGCTCGGCACGCCGTCTGATCGGGGGGCAAGCTGCGACATCTTCAAGGACTACCCCCCCGCCCTTTGGCGTCCGAAATTTGGACCCATATGGTCTGCCCTGGGCGTTCCCCAGCCGCTCCAGACAGTTCCTGGGGGTCGCCGAAGGGCGCAAGGAAGTGAATCCAACATACAAGTAGCGACAGGAGGTCCCCCGAACGCCTCCAACACGGCTCAGGACGGCCCGAAGGGGTTGCCGAGCGGTTCCAAGGTTGGTGTAGGTTGTTGTACGTGTTTTCCTGTGCTTGCCTCCTCCTCGGTAGTTTGAGCACCGCTTTGGGGTGATCACCCCAAAGCGGTCAGAGAGAACCCAAGAGAGCCCCGACAGGGGCCCACGCCGGCCCCAGAAGGTCCCAAGACATTCCAACAGGAGCTTATTGTTTGGGGGCCTCTTGGGAGGCTCTTCGGGCCTTCCTCGAAGCCTCTTGAGGGCTCCTGGGGGCCTCTGGAAGGCCCGCTGGCTGTCTCGGAGGCCATCTTGGTGTGGAGGGCTCCAAGCTGAAGTTTGAGTTCCCCCTCTCGAGCGCCTGTTGGGGGCCTCGCAAGCCTTCTGCGGCGGATCTTCGGGGCCTGTCCGACCGACTGGACGCTCTGAATGCCTAAACGATTTGGCGGCCTCCTTGAGCCCGCACCGAGGGCTTCAAACTCTGCCCAAGAGACCTCAACAGAGCCCCAGGACCGTCCCTTGTTATTTGTTTAGCCGGTGGTGCTTGAAAGTTCGTGGGGATGACGGAATCAATCTGGACGGATTTAGCTTGCCTGGGACCCACGAGGGTAGTGCTGAAAACGCCCAAGAGCGCCAGGATTGTTGTTGGTAGATTGGTGATCTAGGCCCTTCAGAATCTCACAATGGCTTTAAGAAGCACGTCAGTATGAGCCTTACGGTGGTGAATCAACCACTGCAACGCAATCGGCGGTGGCGTTGCCGGCAGCAGCGCTTGCGGCGGCGAAGACGACGATTGATCCCTCCCTCGTAGTCCTCCCTCATTATCTTCCTTTCCTCTTCCGTGCGGGGGGAAGAGGAGAAGCGGGAGGGAGGAGGAGGAGACAGCTCCGAGGAGATTTTGATGAAAAGGCCCCCAGATGCTCAAGGAGGCTGCGGGAGGAGGAGGAGGGGGAGGAGGAGGAGGAGGAAGTAGGTGGTAGTGGGGGAGGGAGGAGCAGGGTGGAACACGATGGAGTCTGAGGGAGGAGCAGGGGGGAGGAGGGAGGGGAGGATATATATATATATATATATATATATATAGTGCGGAGGAGGAGGACGACGACGACAGCGAGGAGGGAGGAGGACATAAATGACAGGACGAGGATGAGATCGGAAAGGAATGCTTGGAGAAGGAGGAGGAGAGGAAGAGGCGGAGCAGGAGGAGGAGGAGGAGGAGGAGGAGGGCGACGAGGAAGACGAGGAGGAGTGGGAGGCGAAGAACCAGTATGAGGAGGTTGAGGAACAGAGGAGAGGGAAATGGAGAAAGAGGACGGCCCACGACGACGAGGAAGGGGAGGAGCAGGTGGGAGAAGGACGACGGCGACGACGAGGAAGGGGAGGAGAACTTGGAACAGAACACGGAGGGGGGGAAAGAAAGGCGGAGGAGGAAGTGGGAAATGAGCAGGAGGGGGAAAGGGATAGAGGAGGAGAGCGAGGCGAGGAGGGAGGAAGAGGAGGAGGAGGAGGAAAAGGAGGACAACGACGACGAGGAGGGGGAGGAGGAGGAGGACCCCCGCTTCTCTCTGGCGTTTATGCCAGCGCCCCGCCGGGCGGGCCTTGCGGCGCTTGCGAGGGGGCTGCCGGAGTCGAGGCCCCCGAGGCACAGCGCGGCCTCTGCCCCTGGATAGCGGTGGACATCGTTGTCCGCTTCACCGTTCTGGGGGACGCGCGCGCCTTCGCCGCTGCCTCGCCGCCTGCCGCGGACGGCGACGGAGCGGTGTCCGCCGAGGGCGAAGCGGACATGCCAGCGCTACCCCGAGCGCCAGGCGCCCCGGTTGGTCCTCCCGCTGGCCCACGAAACTGCCAGCCGGTTGGGCAGGGCCGCGCTGCAGCACTTGCGTTGGCATGCGCGGGACCGCGCCAAGGCGCTGGGGAACGGGCCAGGGGCCGAGGCAGCCGCGAGCGCGCTGACCTGCCGCTGGGGCGCGAAACCGAGCTGCGCGCTGCACCGCGCCATCGCGCGGCAGCTGCCGATCTCGTTCGGCCGAGAGCGTGAGCTCGCGGTCCACGCCGCGTTGGCGGCCGAGCTCGCCGGGTTGGGCGGCGCAGACGGGGCGCCAGGCATCGAGGAGCACTACTGGGTCGTGGAGGGGGGCTACCTGGTCGCCGCAGTGTCGAGGGAGCTCATGGCGCGCGGCCGCGCGACAGACCTCGCCTGCTGTTCAGAAAGAAGGAATGGGGAGGAAGAAGAGGATGACTCGTAGGACATGGAAGAGAAGGAGGAGGAGGGGGAGGAGGAGGAGGAGGAGGAGGAGGAGGAGGATAAACTACTACTACTACTACTACTACTACTACTACTACTACTACTACTACTACTACTACTACATGGAAGAGGAGAGGAGGGAGGAGGAGGGAGGAGGGGGGAGAGGAGGGAGGGGAGGGGGAGGAGAGGAGGGAGAAGAGATGACGAGGACAAGGACGGAGGAGGAGGGCGGAGGAGGAGGACAGAGCAGGTACGCGCAGTTTTGCGCGAGTCTACACCGAACCCAAGGGCCACGGACCAGTACTTCGCCACCCCAAGCCAGGAGCCTGCTGGGAGGAGAAAAAAAACGACACCGTCACCGCCAGGGGCGCCACTTCCAGCGAGGGTCTTCCGAGCCTGGAAAGGCGGGGTCATGTGGGTGCCGGGAGGGGGGGGGATCATGGGGGGCGCGCCGCCAGGAGGACCCGCCCTGAGTTCTTGCAGTGGCGGTGGCGTTGCCTTCCCAAACCCAACGACGATGTGGCCGAGCTGACCCCGTTCCCAAACCCATCGGCCCAGCGACGAGCTGGCCCATTGGGGCCCGGTTGGGCCAGTCCCCGAACCCAGCGACGAGCTGGCGGCGAGAGGGCCGCCTGCCGGGGGGCTGCGCGGCAGGGCATGCCCCAGGCCGCCCCCGCACAGGGCACCGCCCTCCCAGGCGGGGGGTGCTGTTGGTCGCGGCGTGGCGCACTGGCCGCGCGGCCAGGACACACGCGCAAAAGTTGGGAGCGTTTGCGCCTGCGCTGGCCGCGGCAGGAGGAAGAGGAGGAGGAGGAGGAACAGGAGGAGGAGGAGGAGGAGGAGGAGGAGAAGGAAAGGGCGGTGGATGAGGAGAGAAAGGTGAAGGAGGAGGAGGAGGAGGAGGAGGAGAACGACGAGGAGGAGGAAAAGGAGGACGAAAGCAAGGGGAAGGCGGAGGGGAGCTCCAGTGCAAACCCAAGACTCATCAACGATGTTGAAATTAGCCCTCCCCCAAAGTCCTGCTTCACAGGCCCCTACAAGGGTTCATGTCCACTGAAGAAACGGCTTCGGCGGAACACAACCGTTCGAGGACCCAGAAGCATGTCAAAAAATGATATGCGGAACTCCAACGCCACGGATCAACGGGACGGCTGCATTTTGACGATTCTGAATTGTGCCAGAACGTCATTCCTGGGACTTCAGCTGCGCGAACCCATGCAAATGCTGCACAAGCATGATCCAGAATGTGTTCAAAACGCTGTTTCTGTACGCTGCTCACATGAACCCGTGAAGCTCTTGCAAAGCAAAAGACGGATGTACGCGGCGCTACGACGAGAGCCACATATTGAAAACCATCCGCCCTCAAGTTGTGAAACGCCTGCAACATTTGAAACACGAATATACGCGGCGCCAAGGCGAATTCCACATTTTAAGAGCGAGCCGCCCTCAGGCCGCGAAGCACTTGCGTGATTGTTGTTAATGTCCACGGCACTGAAGCGAGAGCCACGTTTGAAAAAACACCCGCCGTGAACCCATGAAGCGCTTGCACCTGTTTAAAACATGCGCGCGGCGTTGAAGCGACAACCACATATTGAGAACCACCCGCCATCAATCCGTGAAGTGTTTGCAAATGTTGGAAACGAATGTACGCGGCGATAAGGCGAGAGCCACATTTTGAACACCACCCGCCCATCATCTGTGAACGGTTGCCGACGTTTAAGCTTCAGGGTCATCAGTGGTGCGGAAGTGTGAATGCGAAACACCCGGCCCTCCGTAAAAAAAATGCTTCGGGGTGCGACAGGGAAAGTTGTGTATAAAAGGAAAAAGGAATGGAGGAGGGGGGAAGGCGAGGAAGGACGATTAGAAGGACGATTATAAACCAGCAACAAATCCCACTGATATGCTGCTGGCTGAAGATGGTAATCTTAACCCTTGCGGCGCACTGTGCGCCGTGGCTGCCTGGGGGCGCTGGGGGTTCCGTCAGGCCACACAGCCTTTCCCTTCGTTGAGGGGACCTCCCACCGCTGAATTTTGTTCAAAGCCTCTCGTCCTGCTGTGGTGGGGTGCCCGCTACAATGGCCCAGG